CTCCATCTTGCCCCAATCCTGTATATATTATAATAGAATGGAGTACTGTTTCTGAGCAAACATCTATTGCTTGTGGATAGTGGTCTTTCCAAAAGACAGTTTGTGTGCTCTAACCAGAGTTTTGTTTGAAAAGATTACAAAGGTGCATAATTCAATTAAAGAAGTGTTGCAACAACTGCTGATCTAGTTAATCCTAATATGTACATGTGAATATAGCCTTTGGTTTTGAGAAGCCTTTAGAAACAAAATGTATTTTTCTAAAGCTGTTGTCAAAGTGGGTGTTATATGTCAAACTGGTAATATTTCTTAATGTTATCTGATACTTCCTATTACAAATTCGAGTTTTCTAGCATGGACTTCCAACTATGAAATGGTGGCTACTCAGGCTGAAAACCTGCGTAGGGGAACTGCTTCAGGCTACATCTGGGAGGGTGGGAGTAAGGGAGTCTGATTCTTTAACTGTTTCATAGAAGCAGGTTGAACCATGTTTTTTGTTATGTTAAAACATCCATGAGAACTCCTCTAAATGCCTGGGTGCTTCTCTGCATTTTAGCAGAGACTCGATACTTTATGAAAGGGGAAGGGTCGTCTCTGCCATCTCAGAGAAATCTGCTCTCTTTTGCCAAGCTGTAACTTTGAAAAACACGGGTTGCTCATGCTCAGGAGAGACTTATTTGATCTTAACAGCTAAAATCTGTGAAGACTTGGTCTTTACTGAGCATGCTCTAGCCTCTGTCAGCTCCAGTGCTGACCAGACTGCCTACGCATCCCCCAAGAGAGACGGAGCATGCCTCAAACCTCTCAGCTCCATGTGACAGGACTGTGCATGGGCCACTCCACACAGTGGCTGAGCGTGCTTCAGCTCATGGCTACAGGTGCTCACTCAGAAGGAGTTTTCCTCTCACTGCTGTCCCTATCTGCTCCTGGTCATGGCACTGAGAGCAAGGAGTGGGCTTCCTGTGGTCTCAGTGGTACCAGGCAGCACAGGGGAAGAAGCCCTGAGATGTGAAGGCAAAAGCCACGCAGAGGCAGGTGGCAAGAGGTCTGTGACTGAAGGCACAGAATACATGAATAGGAGTTGAAGGAGAGACTAATCCTGTTTATTGTCCATGAGGTGGGAAAGGCAGGATGGAATTAACTGGATAAGCAGACTGGGAGACTGGGAACCAGAGGTTCCACACTGGTCTGAGGAGACTGGGAACAGATCATAATATTTTGGGGAGACAGTGGTTATGGGAGAATATTGATGTTAGAGACAGAGCTGGGAATGGATGTGGCTAGTGGGGAGGGCTCAACTGATGACCAATGGGCAAAGAAATGGCAAGGCGTGTCCAAAAACCCTGCGAGGAAGCTGGAAAGTAAATTGGAAAAATAGGACATAGGCCAAGGATTGGATGAAGGGGGTGCTGAAAATTAAGAACCTAGAAAGGAAGATTAAGCCTACTACAACTGAGAAGAGTAGGCAGGAGAAACGGAGACTGTCCAGGAAAGGGAACGAAGACAAGTCTCAGGTGTGGATCGCCAAGGAAAGGAGAATGGGTTGTGGGGCTGGGAAAGCAAGTCATGGCTGGGACAGGGGCAAGGTGGATGAGGCTGGAAGGGTCGAACAGGACCAGGGCTGTCTGATTGCGTTCATCTGGGGCCTAGCATGGATGGGCAGTTCTCCTGTGAGCAATCAGCCATGTACGTAGTCTGTTGGTGGCCTATACTTGTATTGCCCTGAAGCACTAAACCCCTTGACTGGCATCATCTGGATGGTGCATATACATGTTGAGCATCCTTATTCCCAGTTCAGACTGCCTTTTGGCTTTGATAGGTGTTCTGTGTCGTGAGCTACTAGATCCCCATTTTTTCCCTTTGTATGCAGGATTGATTGCAGCTGCACCCCGTAGCCATTATCAATGCCAAGTCTGTGCTTTGGCTTATCAACCCCATTGTTAAAATGCCATCAATCACCGCAGCGTATCTCAGGAAGAAGTCCTTTTACCTCGACTGATTAGCTAATGTGAAGATCTCGTCAGTGTTCTAAGGCTTTTTTTTATAATCTCTCTATGCTGTTTTATATCTTAGGCTTGAAAATCATGTTGCAAAACTGCAGCTTAATTCCTATCCAGAAGGTTTTGTTTACTGGAACAGTGTTGGGCTCCACTGGCTTCAGAGTTAGAACTCCATGAAAAATTGGCCTCGATTCCGTTGGATTTATGGACACATGCCAGACTATGCTCTGAGTGTGCACAGGGCTGACTACAGTCATCACCATCTAAATCAAACATCAACTGCATGTGTCTCATAAGGCACCTTCCCAAAGTGTAGGCAAAGAATACAGATGCCTCTTGATAGGAAGCAGAAGACCTGTGAATGGTGTGTGCTGGTCAGAGGAACTCATGGAAGATGTCAATGGAAAGCCATCTTCTCTAAATTAGGGCAGAACACAACACCAGCAAATACTTCCTCCTTCAAAGGACATCAACTGGCATACTCTTCTGTCTGTTGTACTCATCTGCCGTCAAGAGACAAATCGAGCAGATAATTTTCCACTTGCAAATGGAGGACCAAGGACTCCATCATCTGATACATCTTTTCAGAGCAAAGGTATTATTGGTAGACTTGTACATGGTAGCGTAACAGGAACTGTCACAACTTATCCTAAAGGGGAAGTGGAAAACAAGGTAACCTGTCTGACATCTTTCCAGTTCTGCTATCAGTAGTTCCCACGTACCTTTCTTATCAGTCCAGCTGAGCACTTCACAAAAGCAGGCTGAGCTCAGCTGAACAAATAGCTTTGGCCTGGCTAGGATGCTTTTAGTTCCCAGACACTCCCAATCTGTGATCCGTCAGCTGAAGGAACCTCTCTTTCCTGTATGTCACAGGATGAGAAGATGTAATCCCATTTGGGTCATAGCTTGGCTGCTGCTTGTGTCAGTTGGAAGGCAGTTATGTTCTTCCCTGGTCCTGAGTGCTTATCACACAGGAGAAAAGGCTCCTTGAAAAGTACTAGGTGTTGTGTAGAGTAAGTGGACAGTTCTGGGCATTACTCTGTTGACCAGTATTTGATGTCTGTCTGAGGCCAGCGTAAGCTGTGGAGTGCACAAATGAGCTAGTTTGCTTGTAGCCATCTGCACTGAAGATGTCTGAATTTGAACTTATGCTTCCAGTGTGGAGGCATCTTTGTGGATTTTGAATCTTGAGGGAAGCAAGATTATTTCAGATTTCACTTTAGTTCTTAATGCCTGCTGCTGGAAGCACATAAAGTAAAGCCACCTTATCTGAGAATATCAAGATGCCAAATTTCAAGGGAGCTTGTTACAGTATAGGACTTTTATTAAAGGACCTATATTCTCAGACTAGTCTCCTTAGAGTTCAGGTAACATCAACTGTCAAGATGTTTCTACTTGAAACGTAAAGCAGTTTCTTTAGGGATCTGTTAATATCAGCAGAGGATGTGACAACTGAAGTCTCCACATTTGATGTTGCATTTTGCAAGTGCCATTTTATTTTCTTAAGACCTATTAGTCCCTACGAGCCTCCAGCATTAGAAAAACAGGCATATAGACAATAACTAGCAGGAGGTAAGGCAATTATTTACCTATGCAAATAATTGGCATCCTTTGATAAGTTATATGCATATTCCATAGCCTGCCATACATCATCTCTGCCTTGGATTCCCTTCTTCCTGGTGTCCTATGGTAGATGGCTGGCATTTGAGCGTTCTGCATTTTTTGCTCTTAACATTAGGCAGAGGACATTTGAGTGCACCATCAGGATGCTGCTGGCCAAAGGACCCAGAACCTGGGGGAGTGGGGTGAGCACACAGGTAGCAGGATGTGCTTGTTGTTGGCACATCTGAAAGAACTTCAGTTACCGCGCAGGTAAGTATGTGTTGCTTTGTTGTTTTTCTCTGATGCAATTTTCCTCTGCTATCAGCACACATCTGCAAAACCCACTGGAGAAATCTGGGTCTCTTTTCTTGCTTTATGCTGGTCTGCACAATGGATGGCAATCTGTTCCTGCTGTCTGCTGCTGCGTTAGCTCCACTGGCAGAGGTCTGGGAGCTGGGTCTGAAACTTCGGGCTGTGCAGCCCCCATAGAAGTGAATATAGCCGGATTATGTAGGATCTCTTTTCCATCTCCTCCTTTAAAGTCCAGGTCACATGCTCTAAAGTTAGGAAATGCCAGAGCCAAGGTTGCTGGCCTAACTTTTACTGTAGTCCCGGTGTGCGTTTGTGGTGTGATATTATTTCTGATTGTTCGATCACATACTTTTTCCTCGTAACAGGGGCCTAGCTATGGCAACCACAGCTCTAATATTCCCCAAAATTTAAGGGCTTGTCTTTGCAACTTTGATAACGTTTCTTGAAAGTGGTGTGTGAATAGTTGTGAACATTTTCAACAGACACTTGCTGTTTCTTAAACAATTCAATGTGAAAATGCACATGATTCTAAACAGTGGCTTTTACATCTCCAACACTCAGTTAAGTATGTATGCTGTATAGTAGTGAAAACTGGATGACAAGTTTGCACTTTGTTATTCTGAGTAAAATTGAAAGCTTGTGTTTTTCCCATGAACTAAACTTCTTCTTGAAATCCTTTGGATTTTAGCCAGGCAGCATTACGTAGATTTCCACTAGATTTTTCATGAAAGTTCTTTTTATAATAGTTACAGTTCTTTATTTAGTTGATAAAAAGGAGTTAGATATGATTAATAGGACACTGATGGGCTGTAGCTTTCTTACCACTGTTACTGACAGATGTAAATATGAAAAAAAAAAACCAGAAAGCCGGGACACTGGGTATTTTTTAAATGAAACAAGGTGTGAATATGTTTTTTATGATTATTTGGAGCGAAACATTCTCTTCTTCCTTCTCAGTGTTTCAGTAGAGTTCTTATGTGAGAAATATCTTCTGAGTAGGGGCCAACCTGTGTAAGTTAATGAATTATACTGATTGCTACAGTTCAGATAAACTCAGAAAGACATGTCTGTGTTTCCTCTATAACATTTAGAAAAAGCTCAGTGACTTTAGTCGCAGTATAAATGCTATTGCAAATTTAGAGAAACTACTTTCGAAGTGACCTCTTGTTCCCGGAGATGTAAAGAAACTGTCTACCGATAGTCAATGCATTGAAGCTCTTATGTTGTCTCTGCTTGCCTCTAAGTCAAACCTTTCATATCTTGTTCTGAAAGTAAGCTTCTCACAGATTTTCAATGCCCTTTAATGCAGAATTGCAGCATCGCCTGGCTAGTTTGTTTGGCTTTCAAAGTATTTCTTTAAATGCACCTCAGTCTTTGTCTTACCTGGTCCTGAGAACCCCTTACTGTTTTGTCAGAACTGTCTGTACTAGGTTTCGGGCTTTGTTGCATGCTTTACTGTTTTATTGTTACAGAGTTACTGCTGAATTTTGGACTGCTGATGTACATTTTTATAGGGTGTTTCTTGTGTTTTTGAAAGTGAATTCTGACTTGGGACTCGTGAAAGAAGCTATGTGAACCAAGTGTAGCATATTTTCTGCTAGCTAACCTTCAGAGAATTAGGAAGGACAAATTATTTTACGTAAATTTACAAATACATTGAGTGTAGTTTGGTTTCTGCTTTTCTGTAGCAGAGACCATTTAAATTGGGAAATCCTCCTAAAAAGCTAAATGGATATTAAGAAGGAATGTAGAAATGTGTATATAAGGTGTGTGTAAGCTGCATTTTTGTTACTCAATTTTATCTCATTGTGTTTACAGCTGAAATTCTAGAATTAGCAGGAAACGCAGCACGAGACAACAAGAAAGGAAGAATTGCCCCCAGACACATCCTGCTGGCTGTTGCAAATGATGAGGAACTGAATCAGGTACCCATTCACATTTCAGTGCAAGAGTTATGTGCTGTGGCATGAATGAAGCTGCTACCACGAAAGGTCAGAAACAGTGTCGTCTGACACGTGAATGAGAAGACAAGATGGTGCTCACTCAAATAAAAGCAAACAAAGAAGGTTCTGAGATATCTCATCTTAAATCCTCTGGATATAAATTTTGCTTCTTTTGTAGCCTGTGAGTTCTATTGAAGTGGATAAGCTCGATGCTTAATTTTTTCCTCAGGGACATTCAGTACTTAAAGAAAATGTGCCATATGGAAGACCTTTTTCCAAAAGCTGTAGAAATGTGTGTTTTCTATTATACTGGCTGTGAGGCCCATCTTGGGTAGGGATCTGGCTCACTCTGCTCTTGCTGCCTCCAGAGCTGCCTCCCTGCCTGTATGCCCAAGTCCCCTTCACACCCAGACTGTGCTTTGCAGTGCTCTGACTCTGAGGATCACTTGTGGGATCACTTCTGCTAAACTTGTTGAGTGAGAAGAGAGATCACGGCATGGGCTGTGAATTGCAGTATTCAGGGGGGCCAGAAGATTCAGTCATCATCAGAGGATCTCTTCTTGGTTGGCCCCATGTGAAGATGTATGACATCATTCACACTTCGAAAGATTCCTGCATTTAATTTGACTGCTTTAAATAATGAGAGAATGTGGTGCCCATAAAGTCGTCTAGCTCTGTTTCCAGTCAAGATCTGAAAAGTCAAAACAGAGGCCAGGAGAGAGGGAAAAGCATGTTAACCCTACCAGCCCATTCCGTTCTCTGTGGTGCTGGTCACTGGCCTGTGAACTGGGGACTAGATATACTGTTGTCTGTTAGGAATTAGCCCGATTTTGTCCTCCTCATAATATCACAGCCCATTCCTGTTGTTGACCTCTTCAAAGCAGGTTATTTGGGCTCATACTTGCTTTCTGAACTGAATCTGTTTCCCTACGAAAGGGATCTGCAACCAGTCCTTCTTTGAGCAGGGCTGTGGTGCAATCTTTTTTTAAGCAGCCTGCAGGCACTTATCTTCTCTTACCCTCATTCACTGCTTGTGAGTTACCAAGGACAGGTATGCAGAAAGCCCAGCACTGGAAGAGAGAAGACTGATTCACCGGTACAGAGAGTTGTCTGGGATGTGCTGGCTGACCTCACCGTCACCTGCCAGGTTTCTTTTTGTTGTGGGTTTTCTCCCTAATAATTTTTTTGGGGTTTTTTTTGGTTTGGTTTTTTTTTCATGATAAAGGATCAAGGTGCAAAGCTTTAGAAAGTGTGGACTCTACTTCCTTATGTAGCAAAAATAGCTTGAGTGTAGACTAAGGGAATCTGTAATGTGCTCCTTTACACTGCTTCTCCTTGCAGTTGCTAAAAGGCGTGACTATTGCAAGTGGAGGTGTCCTGCCTAGAATTCAGCCAGAGCTTCTGGCCAAGAAACGGGGTGCCAAAGGCAAATCTGAGACCATCCTTTCCCCTACTCCTGAGAAGAAGGGAAGGAAATCCATGGTGAACAAAAAGAGTGGGAAGAAGGCAAAGTCCACCAAGGCCCGGACACCGAAAAAGGTAACCCTGGGGCAGATAAGGGATTCCAGAGGTGTGACAGAGGGAGTGGATCAAAACCAACTAAGATTATCAGGAGGAATAAATTAGCACTTCTGCATTATTTGTTTGTAATGACTGGAAATAGGAGATAGAGTTGATAACAGAAACACCAAGATTATTTTTTTCTCTACATTTTAGAAATAAAGGCAAAGACAGTACTTTTTAATGAATTTTCATAACAAAACCCTTTAAAGCATTGAAGGAAACTTTTCAGATTTCCATGTCACCCTTTGCAATGCTTGCTTGATATCTTTGAGAATCTCTTTATCTCTACACTCACAGTGTGGCAGTGAACTCTACCTTTTAAAATAAAGGAAGCTGTGTTTTAAAACATTTTCTACTTGAGAGATGTCACTCCTTCAGCTTTGTACTGTTACTGGATTGCTGTTAAAGATTTTTTCACTGTCCAGAGAACTTGTTTTAATATGGTACATAAATGTCATTTTGACAAGCTCTTTGTTTCGTGTGTTCTTAGGTGTGCTGTTGTTAATGGTTTTTAAGAGTTGCAAGAAGAATAGATGAATTGGAACTTGACCACTGCACCTTCCCTTATGGTTGTCCATCCTCTGTCACCATCCAAAATGGTTTAATTTGGTAAAGCAGTAACCCAGATCAGTGCTCTTGGTTTGTCGTTCCAGAGCACGCATCTTAAAACAGTGCTGAATTTTTAATTGCATAGGATTAAATGATACTAAGCTTTGATCTAAGCTTTTAAAACCTGTGTTAAGCACATTTTTCTGGAGGCCTCTAAGCTTTAATACATTACCATAGCTGAGAATATGCAGAAACAACTTTAAAAAGAAAACACGTAGCTTAATAGGATGCCTCTGTATATTGATCTCAGCCACCACCTTACTTTCAATTGTGCACATGCAGAGTTTGTGACTTGTTAGGAAGAGTTAGCTTTTTGACATACCTTAAATCAAATATTGAGAGATGTGAAGACATGCTCCTGCAGCCCAGGTAGGAACAGGTTTCCTGCTCCTGGAGCTAGGCTGCCTGAAGGAATGTGTCCCGCAAAGGAAATTTTGCATCCAAGCTTCAGCTATTAGTTCATTTTGTCATTCTGACTGCTTGTATGGAGGTATAAAGGCTCACTCCTGTCAATATGGATTCAGATGTATGATTTATTAGCTGAGACTTACAATTTTTTTCAGATTATAAAGATTTTTTTTTTCCCCTCAGATTGGAGCATTTGACTGGGTTACTAAGTTACTAAGTTTGATTTAGTATGAGCTCTGCTCTGTTAGTAATAAAAATAAACTAGCACACACGCCCACATAAATACAACCTTAATTGTTAGTAAAACTACAGATGGATGTGGGTGCCCTGACTCTTAATGTAATGTAGAGTAACGTATGTAATGCCTCAGATGAACCTCTGATGTTTTATCATTATATAAACAGTGAAGGCCTCTGTTGTTACATAATCTTTGGGGATTAAAAGGTTATGAGTATTATATTGATCTGAGAAGATGAGATCTGTAGTAACTGATTAAATTGATCCATTACTGAATAATGGTTGATTTTTTTGATTTTTTTTTTTTTTTCCCATTGAGAATTCTTCCCTTTTTTCTCCCCCCAAATAGAACAAACAAAAGGACAATGAAAAAGAAGGAGCTTCAAATTCAACATCTGAAGATGGACCTGGGGATGGTTTCACTATCTTGTCCTCAAAGAGCCTCGTGCCAGGACAAAAGGTAATACAAAGCTATAACAGATTGGGATCACAGCAGTGCAGCCTAGCATAAATGGAAGGATGCTTTTGATGTAACACCAGCAGAAGATCTTCTCTACCTTCTCCCTTAGTGGTCCCAGATGTAAGGCCAAAACTCCCTCAAGTCATGGGCAGGGTAGAGGGTCTCAGCAAATATGTCTGCAGATAAAAGATTTCCAAGAATAATGCTGGTCAGCCTCTCTTCTCTAGAGTGCGCCATACTGATTCATTTCTTGGCTTAAACTGTATTAGTTTTGTTCAGTTTGGACTTGGCTGCGTTGTGCCTGGCATACTGCCAAACCAGGTTTAACCCTCTAGGTTATTTATTGTTTATAAAAGAGTATTTCTGGGCCAGGTCCCAGGATCACCCAGCAGCTTCCATATGTTGGTTTGTGCCAGAAGCCTGGGTGCTCCGTCTGAAAGTGGGCTGTGTGGCACTGCTGTCTCACTGTTCAAACTGGGGACCTCACCAGAGCTGCAGGGCATGCCTGCTTCTCCATCTTGGCCCAGACTGTGACACGTTTTTCCCCTGTACTCATGAAGAGGGACAGTTTTTTACCTGCCTTAATTTTTGACCCCTTTGAATCTGGAGTTTTTCTTACAGATTTAACTGTGGAGATATAGTCAAGATTTTTTTAATTATTATTATTTTTTCAGTTAGTAAGGTGGAAAAGGTGTTCTTCCAGAAATTGCTTCTGTAAGCCCCCCATACTGATGGTGTACCCTGTTGTATGAAGTAGTGCTTAAGAGTTCAGTTGTCTTATCCTATCTCTTGCTAAAGCAGTGATCTAGAATGTGCCAGACACATACTAGATCCAAAAGATTGCTAAAAGTTGTGATCTGTCTGGATAGATGAGACTTCAGTCTCCTTTGTTAGGGTTCAATCCTGTCCGAAATTCCTCCAGAATCTGTGCAGGTTCTCGCTTTCTTTTCTAAAATGGGCAGTGCTTATTGTTCTGGTTAGGACTTAAATACTACAGTGTATTTTGGAAGAATTGAGGCATGCCAAGCACATGTTCAGCCACTGTAAAGTCTTTTTAATGATTTTTAGGGTTTCTGTCCTCTGTTGTTGCTCAAAGTGATGAGGCTGTGGAACCTGGGGAGCAGCCTTTTTTGAGCACCTTAAGACATCAAGTTTTAGCCAGTTCCTATATCCAGATGCATGGGTGGATTCCTTATTTTATTTATGCCAGGAACTGAAAGGGTAATTAATTACTTGAGTGGTGAAGCCTTTATAGATCAGGATAGTGTTCAGCCCTTCTTCTCAGCCTCTACAGTAGATTACTGGATGCAAGTGTTTCTATAGGAGAAAAGCTTTTTAATTGTAGTGTTTTGCTCTTTAAACACAAGCATTTCCAAAGTCAGCCTTTTCTCTTCAAAGTGTGGTGCTAGAACATGAATTTTCTAGCAGTAACTTCCTCCGGAGCAAGCTCCCAAGCTGTGGGCATATCACAAAATTAATCTGAGTGGTGTACAAATTAATTAATTAAAGGCTAAAAGTCAAATATTGAACACAATAAAACTACTGATCTCTGAAAGACTGAATCCATCCTTCTTCCATTTCAGTTTTTTGGTACAAAAATTATTTCACACCCAGATTACTATTTTTACTTTTTGTCTACTCCCTCATTATTGTTTTACAGCTTTCTTTGACACAGAGTGACATCAGCCATATTGGCTCCATGAAAGTAGAAGGCATCGTTCACCCTACAACTGCTGAAATAGACCTCAAGGAGGAAATAGGTGAGGCTCTGCTACATGCAGAAAAAACAGATCTAGAGTTGGAACAGTAGCTGGTCTATTAGCTGCCTGCTGAGATCCCATTCTGTTTCATCTGAATCTTCCCTAGGCCATAAAATATCACTTACAACACTTCTGAAAATCAGGCAGGAACGGACTAGGTATAACAGGCTAATCACTAATTTATCTTGTTTTAATGATGTCTTACGACAGTCAAAACACAGAAAATTTGTTGAAGCACATAAGCAGCAAAGGTGTAAATGATTATTGCAGCCTTTATTGGATTACTTTTACATTTGCCTCTGAAAATTCAGTGATACAAATGACATTAATTACACTGCTAACTATGCATTTCACTGTAGGATTTTACATACTTTAGAAATGTACAAAGTCTTGTACTGCTTATGTGAAATAAGGAAATAGTATTACTGCTGGTGTGCAAATATGGAAATTGAAGCAGGAGGAAGTTAAAAAAAGATAGGCAGTCAGTCACACAGACGCACAGAATCTAGTAGCAGGCTTTTGGATCATTGTTTTATACAGGCAGTCATCAAGACCTTCACTGGCATTCCAGCTGTGTTTATTTTGGAAAGCAGTAGGGTTTGTATGTTGATTTGATTTTGGAGGCTGAAAAATAGGAGTCCTGAAAATTCCACTCTGCACTATTTCAGCCATAAGTCAGAGTAAGATAGCATTCTTACAGACGATTATATTAAAGTAATTTCCAGTAATACCATACAGGAGTTTTCAAAACCAATAAAAAGTAGACTTTATCTGTGGCTAGATAGAGTGGTAAACATAAACATCAGCTGCTGCTGATAGAGGGGAAGCAGGATAATATGTGTACAATGTTTTTCTTTAAAATAACATAGAATTGTTTTTTCACACTGATACTTTGAAGCCAAGGCTTTTGCTCTGTATCCTTGCAGGCAAGGCATTGGAAAAGGCTGGAGGGAAAGCGTTTTTAGAAACGGTGCAAGAGCTTCGCAAATCTCAAGGACCTTTGGAAGTTGCTGAAGGTAAAAAGGATACTACGCTCTGTTTTGGAAACAGCTCTTCGTATGTTCTTTTCTCTGGACATTCTGATCTGTTCTTGATTATATATGTGCCTTTGCTTATGTGATCTAAATGTCTCTGTTTCTTCTTTGAAGCTGTTGCTGATACGAACAGCCTGCTTATAGCAAAAAAAAAAAAAAAAAAAAGGAAGAGTAGGATACCTGTGTGCTGTGCGCATTCTATCTTTGGACTTGTATGTGCCACCATAAATTACAGCAGGCTGATTAATTTATTGTAGGCAATTTCTGTCTGTGGGAGTCCAAAAGTTAAGGAAAACTCGTGCTGTCACCTATGTGCTATCTTTCCTGTCCTGACTGTACAGTATTCCTTAGTGAGAATCAGAAACAGCTCTCAGTCTAACATATGAGGTATAAGAACAGTAACAGTTTAGAAACTGTTCTGCTTTATGCGTATTTGATGAACAGTATAATCCAAACAATTACCTTGCTTTGAATGTAAATAAAGATGTGATACAATCTTTAGAACTGGCCTGCTTTTTGGAAGAGCAATTGCTACTTTTCTTCCAGGCAGTACAGCTACATTATGAAAAAACAAATTACGGAAGAGCTCCTTTCAAATGTCTAACACATCTGTAGCAGTGAATAGTTTGGGACTTGAGATTGTGTCTTCCTTTGTCAACAGACTAAGCTGATTCATAGAGGTTGAAGGTGGCTGGAGGCCCATGGAGAGGAGTTACAATATATCTTCTAGTGCCTTATTTGGCTGAGTATCTCAATACTCAAGAAACTAAATAGTCTAGTTCTGGAAAATTCCTAGTTTTATAATCTCAAATGACAGGGAAATTTTTATACAAGATACTTTTCTTCACTTTTGCATTGAATCAAAAATATATGCCGTAACATCAAACTACTTTTCTTTGTCAACATCACTACCTAACTAGAAAATAGACTCCTTTTTTGTCATTAAGGCAGACCCAGGAAAGAAGGTAATCTTGGTTTAATTGATAGGAAAATGTATGCTCTCCAGCATTGTGTTGTCTTGCTTGTGTTTGAAATTGCCCCTTCTACTGTTTTTGAGGCAAGCAATAATAAATGGTTGTCTGGAGGTCTACTGCAAACACTTGAGCTCCAGCCTAATGGGCTTGAATTGAAGTGCTGCACACAGGACACCTGCGTTGTTTTCTGTCAATTTGCTCACTGTGGTTAAAGGCCTGACATTTCTCTTGTAGTTGAAACATTAGACAGAATTCCTCTGTGCCTGCAGCAGAATTTCTCTGTGATGGTGCACCAGTGTATCAATCCAAGTTTTTCATCCTTGGGCGTTAATTGCACAGCTAATTTCAGGGTGTTTAACCGGAGATTCCTAAGAAGCAGATTTCCAGAAGTGCTAATGGCCACAACTGCAACAAAAGGAAACTGATGCCATGCTGTGGACCCTGCAGGTCCTGGAGAAATGTTAGGCTTTCTGAAAAATTAACGTGAGATTCATAGTTGGACATAACTGACGGAGACTTTCAACAAACATCTTTGATTTTCATGTCATTGCCTGAAATTACCCAGCTGTGAAGTAGGTCTAAATAATTCTCCCTAACGCTCTGGAGCTGTAATGATGATGCAGGATATTTGTGCAAAGCATTCAGATAAGGCTGTGACAGCACCACAGAAATGTCTGTTGGGGGATTAATGATACAGTGTTCAGTGCAAGGTTTTGATACTTTGCGTAAAACAAATCCAGAGGCTATGCTGAATGAGAAGGCTATAAAATATTTTTGCATAACTGTGTGTTAACCAAATGAGCCCCGGGTTCTTTGGTCTCCAAAGAAATAAAGATCACAAAAGTAATGATGAGACAGTCAGACTGTGATTGCAAGTGGGCCATTGTGGCATATTTTAATTACTAATGTATTTCTTTGGAGAGGTAATGTAATTAAGAACTTACTTTGCATTGAGAGGTCATTGCAGGTTGGTTTCTATTCAAAACTAAATGTTATATTTTCATTTGTTAGCTGCACTTACTCAGTCTAGCGGCCTAGCAGCAAAGTTTGTCATCCACTGTCACATCCCACAGTGGGGCTCAGACAAGTGTGAAGAGCAGCTTGAAGAGACCATAAAGAACTGCTTAACAGCGGCAGAAGACAAGAAGTTGAAGTCTGTGGCTTTCCCCCCGTTTCCCAGTGGCAGGTATGAGTCTTTCTGGATAGGAGGATTCTGTATAGGTAGCAAAGGTATAATTAGCTGTCAGAGAGCTGCTGCTGTGATCGAGAGGTACCCTGTGGTCTGTGGCACAAAAGGAGCTGGCCCTGCCTCCAGAGCGGGCTGTGGCAGGGCCATCTGACACGGCGCTTCTCCAGGTTGAAGGAGCTTGAAGTGTAGCATTTGCATGGAATGACCAGAAAGCCTTTGTACAGAGAAATTAGCTAACCCACAGGAGAGCTGAGTGGTCTTGCTGTGGTTTTTCTGTTGCTAGGCAGGAATTTTCATTCTTCTGCTATGGGCCTGCACCACCTCAGTTTTTATGTCCCTTCATTGTGCTATGGTGAATCTTATTAAAACTACATTCGTACTAATAGGATTATACCAGCATAATACTGAAGGCAAGTAACAGTGGCGCAGCCTGAGCTGGGTAAATGTGCGGTGTTCACTTATGTCATCCCGACAATGTATATTAGACAGGCTAGTCACACAAAATGTTTTCTTTCAGAAGATCATCAATGTTTCTCAAATATAGTTCTGCTTTAAAAAGGGAACTGTGAAACCAACTGTGAAACTACACATTTCTTTCTCAATAGCTAGGAAATAAAATACGCTGAGAAATATAGAGTATTTTATCTTTTTTCTTTTTAGAACCAACAGTTCATTAATCTTGCTTGGTCTCTGATCACAAGAAACATTACACAAGCCCTGCTAACTGCAGAAGTTGTTCTTTTGTGTTGGAGTTTGCATGCTTAATATTAATTATGTTTAATTTTAAATATAACTACTGATTTCGTTAGTAATGCCCAAAGAGTAGAGTACATGGTACAGCCCAGTTGTGTTGGCCCCATAGTGAATCTAAATGTGTGGTTATAAAAAATAGAAGCAAATGAAAACAGTAACTATGCCAACAAGGAAACTAATACAGCAGCAGATGAATATTGCTCTCAAAACCCTGTGGTTTGCTTCTGGGATTGACACATTGCAAAACTGCAGCTGGCACTATCTTAACAGCAGCCTGTAGTTGCTATAGGCATGGCCGTTCTTTTCAGCATCACATGTGCATAGTGCTCACACAGGTGACTGACACTCACTTGTTCTGTTTTCTTCCCTTACCACATAGAAACTGCTTCCCAAAACAGACAGCAGCCCAGGTGACTCTACGAGCTATTTCCACCCATTTTGACGGCACCAGCTCTTCCTCCTTGAAGAACATTTACTTTCTGCTCTTCGACAGTGAAAGTATTGGCATCTATGTGCAAGAAATGGCCAAGCTAGACACTAAGTAGCAATGGCAGCCAAATGAAACTTTATTTTTCAACAAACTTGAGTAGCATTAAAAGCATTAGAGGTGGGTTTTATTTTTTCAATGTGATGAGGAGGGGGAGTGGTAGTAGTGTGATGTGTTGTGTCTTGATGAAGAGCTGTGACTAGAGATGAAAGGGGTTTAGTCTGATTTCTTCATGCTATTGGCATCCTCTAGCCTTTTATATCACCTTACGCAATTGAGTTGCCGTCTCTTTTCAGGAGTTTGTTTAGTGTCCCTTGTTACTTTAGTTTAGAAGTTTTTAAAGAGTAACCTCATTTTAGATTTTGTAGTGATGGATTTTACACACACACACACACTTTAAAGAAAGCTCTTAAAAATGTTCTGCTGTCTTTACCATCTGCCCTCAAGGGAGGGGAAAACTTCTGCCTCCAGCCCACAGAGAGGGGAAAAGGGTTTTAGAAGTGATGCATGAGGAGCTTCTGTTTTGCTTTTAACTCACAACAATGTCTGTAATTACTGAGAATATTTCATGGTGATTTTGTTTGTTTTATAAGAAAAAAAGAAAAAGATGTGTCAAGTGTGGTTATTGTTATAAACCCTACTTTTGCCCTCGGAATTTCTCACCTTGAAAAAAAAAAGGCAGCAGCAACACCTGTAATCAAGTGCTTACTGTATCCCACAACTAACCAGTTCTTCTGGCTGAAGTATAGTGCTCTAAATGACATAATTAAAGCTGCTGTGGGGATGTTGACACAAAGCTGCATTATATTCTGTTGCGTTCCAGGATTAGCCTCTTCAAGGCTTTAGGCAGGCTTTCCCCAGGCAGTGCTGCGAGCCGTTCTTCCCGCATGCTGCAGAGCAGATTCCAGATCTGTAAGAGGTAGGTACTTTCTAGAAGAGCAAAAGTAGATAAAAGCCAGGGGAAAACAACATAACAAACAAACCACAGATATTTTGAAAACCACAGTGTTTATTGTTACAAATCAAGGTAAGCCAAGTTTCTTGCTCATAGCTATCTCAACAAGGAAGTAAAAGAAACATACATTCCCTGTTTTTTATCATCAGAACTTCTGTGCATTTAATTTGGAAAGTGACTCCTTCCCCTTCATAGCAAGGCAGGACACCCCTTTAACACAGCACACTGACAGGTGGCTTTAGGAGGTGCTGCAGGAGACACTGTCAGTCTGTCCAAGCAATAAAAGTGCACCCTCACCCTCTTTCAGTTCCTGTGTTCCTTACTGGTTTGTTACTGATCCCCTCTTAAGAGGGCATTGTCTGTCCCATCGTCTTCCAGGTCTTGGAGACAAACAGGTCCCGGCTCTTAGCAATGGTCACCAAGAGGCGTCCCACATAGTAACCGCTCACCTGGCCTACGCCATCATTCCGGCCCATTGAAAGCAGGAA